AAAGCCTCGATAAAAGACGCCGACGTCTCCTCTGATGATGAGCGCTAGTGTCGTGGTAGCAACATGCTATGTGTTTACATCCATCGCTGCCATGTTTGTAATGACTTATTGCAATAACAAATGTATTCACGCGTGACTTTAATAGCATTTCTTACTTAATGGAAACACCGCAGTTGTGAAACACAGTTTTTCGACATTAATAGAATATCGACAAAGTTTTGCGCACATTTGCAATGGAAACGCAGCTAGTATAAAAATAAAAGGAAATGGCCAAATAAAATGGCTTGACAGGTCAAATTTGGCCCGCGGGCCCTGCTTTGGCCTCCTCTGGTTTAAAGTAAAAAAAACTAAAACTGAAGTGTAAAATGAAGGCACAGTCAYAATGTGAGTAACTGACCCCAGAGTTCAGTCGTGAGGAAAATGTTCCTGTCCTTCCTCCTCAGGTCCGTTTCAACCCCAACATGAGCAGCCACGTGTGGTTTGTGTCCGGCGGTCAGACGGGCCTGGTCAGACTGCAGTGTTTACGGGCCATGATCACCCCCAAAGTGAAGAAGCTGATCGGAGAGAACCTGGCCCAGTTCAACGCTCTCTACTCCCCGCAGGACCAGACGGCAGACGAGCCRCTATAGCAGGAGCTGAGCTTCACCGCACACCAGAAGGTGGATAAAAAAACACTTCTGTATGAAAAAAAACACAGATCTGACAAAAAAATGCTCTTAACACATCACTGCTTCTGTGTGTAAAATCTGGGCGAAGGCTGAAAACGGTGAGTTTAGTCCTGCTTCCATCGGAGAAGAAAAGGTGGATTTAAAAAAAAATGATGTTGGATAATTAACAGTAATTATGTTTGATGAACACACAGAACAAACCCTGAATGTGTCCACATCCTGTCCACATTTTTTGATTTGAATGCAGAACGATTARGTTTCAGTTAAAGTGCCTTTTTTTGTTTAATTCTCATCTTGAGCCCGAATTTCAGGTTAACAGATTGTATTTCAAGTTCTGTGGTTTTACAGGCTGAAAATGTTTGTTTATTTGTTTGTTTGTTTTGTTAGTTTTTTTTTCTACAAGTCTCAAAACCATCTGAAAAAAATTTTGGTGACTTATCACTTAACATCTGTTCATGTTTATTTAAACTTAAGTCTCTGTCACACTATAACGTTTTTACGGAAGAGGATTAGGG